TTTCTGACAAAAATTGTAGCTGTAGTTGCCAGGTACAAGGAAGGTTCTATGCAATTTCCTTCTAGTGCGAATAATTTAGTACTAAAAATCGTCTGATATTCATAAAATCAAATAAAATAAAATAGAAATAGATATCAATGACGGTCTCCATTGAACCCATCTGTTAATTTCGGAATTCTCTTAATTAATTGAGCGTAACATCCTGTTAGGTCTCTTTCATTTATTTTGCAAAGCAGTGCAGGGATGATAAGCTGGCAAAGAGAATTCGTGGAAAAATTATCGTGAAATCACCGACCACTGCCTCGCGACGGAGCAGTAATTCTGTTTGCTCGGCAAATCTTTTCCGGTACAAGTTGGAATTCGTTTCGTTGCACACGAGAGGAGAAGACCTCTCCTCTCCGTCATGCTAAATTGCGAATCCAAAGTTTCCCTGCGAGTTTCACGCCGTTTGCGCCTGGGGGACACCTCCGCTTAATATTTTCCAGAGTATATAAAACGTGGAATCGCATTTTCTTTCTCCGGGTATTGGCGGCGCGGAGATTGACAGGTTTTCGTTCGTTTCACGCGGAAACAGTATCTCGCTACATGTACTATAATGGTGTCCATCAAATTTCCAATCAACGTACAGTTATTCGTCGTTGAACGTTCTATTTATCATGGCAGATGACTGATTTCGTACATATATTTCTGATTTGTTATTGGAATTCATTTGAATCAGTGGTACGAAACGCTTTGAAATTGATTTTATGTAAAGCGACAGCTTGACGATTCATTCGGAATACGCTTTCTACATTTTGGAAAACTATGATAATAACAGGTGAAGATGTGAAAAATCTAACAAAATTAATATTGTAGCAGATACATCTGCTATTTAACATAATCGGGAAGAAAAAGAAATGTTTGCATTCACGGTTTTGAGAGAATCGCTTAGAAGATGATGGGCACGAATCTGCCGGAAGAACGTTTCGTTTCGGCAAAGCGGAAACGTAATATAAAATCCGGGACGGCGCCGGTGAATTCGAATGTACACGGGGATACTTCCTGTGACATCTTGCCGCGTAAATATCCTGCGGGCGGGAGGAAGGGTATCGATCGCGTTTTACCGGATACGACGTATCCCTTCGAATAAAAATGGCCGTCGGTTCTCCGGCGACTCGCCCGGTTATCTTTCACGCGCGTTTCGTATCACCACGGTTGAAATGGGTATTGCGTACACATGATTTGTCACTGAGCTCGTGTCGCTCGTGCTCGAAAAATCGCCAGTTCCTACGAACGTGGAAACGTTCGAACGCCGCCGTGACTCGCGTCTCATAATTCGTGACGTGTTTCTCACTTCCGTCAAAAAGCTCGAAGCCGAAATCTTGTTTTTCTCGTTTACGCTTCGATTCCTTTTACGTTTCATCCATTGGTCGAATAACTGGTAATAAATAGTTTTTGTTAAATGGATATTTTATTGGTTCATGGAACTGAATATACAATCTGTGTATGCATAGATTTTATACACGTTTCGATCCGATAAGAATTGACGGTGCAGTTCACAAGGAAAACGGTCTTCGGTTTCTCCTCGGAGAATTTTATTCTAGATTAATGACCATCGTTATTTTTCCCATGAGCGATCCACGAAAATTTCTATAAGTAATACAAATCTCGTGGCCCGCACCTGCCGGTATTTTTCTCCGTCTTGAAAACCGGCACCACTCCCCTCCACGTGGTTCTCATTAATAAAAATTTCAGACGACGAGTGAACCTCCCGGCTCTTGATATTTCATCGTATTTGAGATCCCCGCGCCGCGCGGTTCTCCGTTTAAGCACGGTAATTCCCGAACAATTCCGTCTGGTCCGCTATCTTTATCCCGCGTCGCTGTCCAATTTCTTTCTCCTTGAAACAATTCCTCGGCTCCGGGACGGGATGAATGGAGATTTCAGAGACGTCGAGAGCGATGGCGACCCTTTGGAACACGCTTTGTGCGTCCGGTGTATTTCAGAAGGCCGCGCGAGACCACTTCGAAATAATTCATGGGAATTTAATTAATCGCATCCGGCCGTTTTCGCGTCGTACTTCTTATAAAAGTCAATTATCGCCTCGCGTAACGCGCTAATAGGTGTTGCTAAATATTTAAACAAAATCACCGACGCCGATTTTCCACGCGGTAAAATCGTGTCACTGGAATAATAGTATTACAGTAAACAACTTAAATCATTGTATAAAATTATCTTATGAACGCGTGTCCATGCGTTTGATCGCGTTTTATATATTGACATGAAAATATCGTTTAAGCTCGGGTTTAAATTTTATTAACAGCTGTGTAAAGTGAACGCAGCGACGGGCGAATACTTTTTATGACCACCGTGTATCGTATAAATTTCCGCGCACCTGCAACGTCGTTCAGCAGCCAATTATCCCCAAAGGCGAACGACGCGCGGCTCCTCGCGTCGTAAATCAGCTGGCCAAAGAGTCAGGACCGACGCGTCGGTTCATCTTGCAGATTTCGAATCAAACTCGCCCATTGCCAAGTGCCTACTTATTGATTGTGCCAAATTCTGCGCGCGTGCGTGCCCCCCGCGTTTTCGACCACGCGTCAATTTTGAAGTTCCTCGACGTCTCTTATAAAACGATCCCGTTGAAAAATTCCAGCCAACAAGTTGATTCTGAGCGACGTTCATCGAATTTACTGTGAAACCGAAACTCTCGTTGTTCGTCGATATTTTTTGTCGCCTCGTTGCTTCGGACGATGGATTTTATTATCGCTTTATTATACACGTGTTTCGAGTTTTATAACCTCGGGAATACCGTGACCAGTAATTTGTTTACGTCGCTGCACGCGTTATTACATTATGTTCCTCGCTTTGAAATTATAACGTCCTCCGACGCTTTGATCCAATCACGTTTTAATACCTTTAATTTTATAGCGTGTGCCGTGCTAGGTAAACAAACTTTGTAACGAAATTAATCGAAGACGACCCACACACGCTGATTGAATCTTTTGTTTTAACGCACTTATGTGCGTCGCGTTTTCGGTCGGCCAACAAAGGGACCCTACCATTCTCTGAGAAAATTTCTGGCAACAGAAATCGTCTGTTTAAACGCAAACATGCGCGCGGTGTTTTTTCACCGAATTGAAATTCGTTAGGCAAGTTCGCGAGCGCACCGCTGCCGCTGTTTCGCGTTCATTGTCGAACGAATTTTTATTCGTTTTTTCCTTTATTTTTTGTTAGCCCGTCTGTGTCGGAGCCCCGTCGGATTATCGAAACGATTGTTACCGGTGAGAGGAAACTCGATAACTGATTTCCTGTTCGATGTAAAACGTACCGCGACTCACTCGGTTGCGAAATTTCCTATTTAATTCTGCACCCGCCCGCCCGCCAAGCTGTTGTCTACATTCTTTTTTTCACCTGCCTGCCTCTCCCGATTTCCTTTTTGTTCGAGTTACGAGACAAAAACGAATTGTTGTAAAACTCGTTGCGCGGCTGTTATCTCACGCTCGTTGAAGAACGTAAACGAAGTTAAAAAAAAGAAAAAACGAAAACTACTCCTGCACTTACAAGGAAAACTGGAGAAAGTTTTCTGTGAAACGTACAATCGTCTTCTTTTTTCATTGATAGGATTACAGTTCTAAAAGAAGCGCGTAGGTTTGGCGAAGGCGTAGGGAAATTCTTGCTTTGTTCCTCTATTTAATATTTGCTTATTAACGATGTCGTTTCTTTTTTATTTTTACAGGTAATCATTAACCCAGGAAGGAAGGATATCGAGTATTCGCGTGGTAAGTGATTTCACGAATTAAACTCTACGAACTTTCTCGCATTGCTCCCGAAAAAGTTATTTACACACTTTTTAGAACTCTTGTAGAAACTTTCACTTTTCGCGAAACTTCACGAACTGCTCAACTTTTGAACAGTATCTATATACTAGCCTCAGAACTGTAAGAAATTTTAAAGTTATATAATTCTGATGAATTGCAAACAGCGAAGAACGCAAACGTGATAATTAGATTGCGGATTTTACGCATACATATATAAAAAATTTGTTACCGTTATATCATTGATCGCAAGTAGTGACAAATTGTCTAGTTTCCGAGCAGCTTTTCTTTATCTGTAAGAATTCCATTGTTCAGCGAACTATTTCCCATTCTCCAACCCCGAAACCCAAATCTTCGTTGACCAAGCAGATGTCATTTCTCGCGGCCCGTTCCGCCCGATTAATTTCTCGCGGAAGGTGTGCAGGAGTGTCTAAAAACGGCGCCGGCTGAATCAGCGCCGATCCATAAACGATGAAAAATAAACAAGGCCGGTTCCTGTCGGCTAAAAGGCCAGTTTTAATTAAACCACGGGAAAAATGAACCGTGTTCGAGAATCGTCGCGAGAGTCAAGACATTCAGGGAGGGCCGGTGCCAGTCGGAAGACGCGAAAGATTCATCCTAGAACCGATGCTCGGTCTCGGTTAATTATCTAATTGACCCCTTCCGCGGATAATAACTCGTCGCTTCTTTGCGCACGTCCGGTCTCTTAGTAAACTTCCGTCATCAAGCGGGGCAGTCGAGGCTGGGGGGCAAATAAAAATGTTAATTACGAGAATTCCTCCGTCGGAGACTCCTTTCATCCGTTGAATCCCGCGGGACTCAACGAGTTCTTTGTACACAACGCAAGTTTCGCCGGAGTGATCCCGGGGCTTTGTGCACCCCCTCGCCTCGGTCAGCCCGTGTCGCGATGGATCGCACGATGCCACGATTTCTCTCGTTTTAATTCGCTCGAGGAAAACGTTCCCGCGATGAATACCGCGTGGCAGGAAGAATGAAAATTCGTTGAGCAGATATACCAGATTTCGTTCTGATAAAAAAAATTAGTTCATAAATCCTCAGGGATTGAACTCTTGCCTTTTGTACGTCTCGTAGAATAAAAGTTCTTTATTAGCATATGTTATTATAATTGCTGTGTATAATAATTTGGGATATATAAATATGTGTTCATAAATAGTTATCAGGGCGGAATCATGATTAAATTAACAACTATTTCGCGGTTTTGCGAATGTTAGAAATGTATATTCTCGACGCGATCTTCTCGCGAGTCAGCCGCGGTTACAATGATAAAAAGGAACCGCGTGCATTCAGCGGCGGGGCCAGCCGAGCCGGTTCTTCCAACTTAATTCAAATTATCCGACGCGAAACGAGATGAGCTCGACGGTGCGCGAAGGGTCTGCACTCGAGACGGCCCGGTATATACAGTGTCCGTCAAAAACGAGTAAAATGCGTCTTAAAAGCACGAAATTTCATTCGACGAATCTTGCGTGTGTAAGATATGATTTGCATATCAATATTAAATTTGCAGCTTTCCAGTTACAACGTGAAAAAGTAAAATTATATAATTAAAATATGCTAGTAGAGCGTGTGAATAGTAATTTTTATTTGTCGTTGAATACGAAATGATGTGAAAAAGGAGAACAATTTGATTGCATTTTATTCAGTTGCTTCATTTATTGGTAGACATTTTAATTAATTTTGCAAAGGTATTTTCGAAAAGTGCGGATAGACTCGTTTTCGATCGGGAGTGTACGTATGCCTCATACGCAGCATCCATATCGGTGGCTCTCCGGATTTTTTTTTTAGGGGATGCCGCGCGTAATCAGCCGAAATTCCGGCTCGTGAATCAATACCGAGGCCGTCTGTGCATGTGCCGTCCGCCCCCGCTGTTCAACCCCGCCCCCGGTCCTTTCGATTTCCGAAACTTCCGCCTCATCGTCTTCGAGGCGTTATTACCCGGCAGCCGCAGGCATTTTCATTTCCTAAACCCCCCCGAATTTTCCATTTTCCTCGAAAGAGCTGTTCGCCAAGATCCGCGAACAGGGGATTCCGGTAGGGATTAGAAATTAGAATTAGAATTAGTTGAGATTAGAATTAGTTGGCACGTGCGCGTGGTGATTTGCTTCGAACTCCGAGCGATAGAGGGGTACGGAGGGGGCTTGAGTCGCGATTGAATTATGGTATGGATGCTGGGGGATGGTTTCTGTGGTGGAACTTTGTGGCTGGTCGGAGAGTGATTTTGGATTAAGTTGAATTGATGATGGAATAGGTTTGTTGAACGGTTACCGAGGAAAATTGTGTTTCGTGGCTTAATTTTAGTAATGATTATCTGTCACATCGTCCAGAATATACATATATTATAACAATACCTAAACCAGTTCATCAAAAGCCTCTAATACCATAACCGAAGGAATATTGGCGTTCGATCCATTTAACTGTGTCGTAACTCGACCATACTTATTTGTCATTCGCTATTTATGACGCAGTCTTACATAGAATTTAAGACAGTATCCAATCTTAACCGTTGCTATATTCGACTGCTACGTGTGGGAGCGCATTACATTATCTGGTGGCTCTTCCTCGATATTCGAATGGAAACCAGTCCGTGGATCCTTTCACGAACTTTCACCACCCTTTACTCCTTCACCCTGGCCGACCCTCTTGCCGAGAATTCGCTAGCCAGCTTTCTTCGAATCGCGTTCACGATAGATATACATATACATGTACAACGTAGATATGTACTACATCGGTCGGATAGGACTGTTAACAGTGGTATGGAGATCCGGCTGGATTATTGACTACTCTTCCAGTACGAAACGAGGGCGGATGGTATTCGTTAATGTGCCCTTGGAAGTGGTTTTTTTTTTTTACCGTGGATTCTCCTTTAGCTTGGTCGGATAGCTGAAGCTTTTCGACAAGAGATTCGCTCCGGATCTTTTCAATCCTTGCTTCCTCCGCACGAGAATACTTCATGTTGCACGTGCTTGTTCCAAATTATCTCATTTACTTTATGTATGCTGTTTCTATTTGTCCAGTTACTTCTATGAAAGACTTATTGAAAGTCCAAGTTTGGACTGATCCTCGAAGGAGAAAATGTAATTTTAATAAGGGCGAGAGAGGGCCATGTTCCATTATTAAATTCTTCGTGTTACACTGCTCGTATTACACATCCTCATTCCTCGTGTTATACGGCTACTTGGAGAACAATATCTACCAACCGTGGACCTAAGTAGACGACTTTACGTGAGTTGGAGGAACTCAACTCCGTAGAACTTTTAATGCGACCATTTAACAAGTGAAGCATCCTGTTCTCCCTCCCTCCAGTCCTACCTTACAAATCTCACCCACTGTGATACGTCATTCATTCATTTTATTATTGTTTCACATAAATTCATACGTGAACTGTATACTCAGTCTCCATTTCTCAACATTCTCAGACACTTGTCCTTAAAATTCGTTTAAACAGGCTGTTTTTAATGATAATTACCTGGAATATTATTACAGGTAAAAGAGTGTCTTAAGAACGTTGAAAATTCGCGAACGCCGTGAATGACATTTGGGTTTGGCGTATCGCTGAAAAAGCGTTTTCCGCAAAAAAATGTCCCAATTCAGAGCACTCCGCACTGTCTTCTAGCATAGAGACCCGCAGAGACTGGGATCATTCATTTCGGAGGTTCTTTCGTGAGAGGAGCCTCCTCCGCGTCTCTGGCGAATTTAATAACTCGAGTTCGGGACGCGAGAGACGAAGTTGAACCGCGGCGCGCGAGTTGAACACATGTAAGACCGTCGAGTGCGAGTTTATGCGAGGGGTGGATCGCTCCCTTTATGTAGGTATACGTCCGCGCGCGGGGGTTGGGAGTTATTCGAAACTGCTGGCTCGTAGTCGGGCCGGATGAGCCACGAGCATCCAACGAGTCGCGCACAAAACTCGTTGTGTATAAATAAAAGGCATCGTCGAAGGAGTATTTGTTTGTTCGCGATGGGAGTTGGTGCGCGCTTAGTTGCTTTCGGGGTGTAGCATAAATACGTGGAAAGATTCTACGCCGCGGCGGGCTTTAAAAGGATTATGAGTCTCCGTTTTACGGCCGAGGAATCTCGTGGAAAACAGATTCCATCCGTCTTCTCCCTTTTTTCATGCGTTTCCACTGAGCGTTCCTCTTATTTATTTTGCGGCAACTTCTCGTACCCGATGAGTGGTTTCGATTTTGCGAAGACAGAGAGGTCGAAATCACGAAATATTTCTGTCCTCGAAACAGAATGATTCCATTGAAGGGAGCAGGTTTCATTGCTTAAGGCTGCCACTAGGAAAATATTGTACTTGAAAGTGATGGAGAGAACGTAAAGAAGATATCGGAATCTTGTCTCGTGTTTATGTTTCATATTACTTTTGGAAGAATCTAATAATTCCTAGAGAGAGAGGAACGAGGTTAACGTTATTTAAATCACTTCGGTTCTCCTTGATATTCCATGAGAATTTTTAATTGCATTTCCTTTTATTACGCGATATCGTACGATCTCAATGACAAGATTTATAATTGAGAATGTTCATATTAATAGCACGTTTCACTGTCAGTTACGATTTATGCGAAATAACTTACTCTCTTATTTGCTAAATCTTTCATAAATTATTCAGCGTTTGCGCAACACGTGTGATTACTATTTCCCACTTCCACATCTGGTCGTAAAATTTCATTTGGATCGATGTATAATCCTGCATAGATTCTTTATCGATAAATGTCGCAACGTATCGATATCAAAATTGGCTTTAACAAATTGCTTTACACTTTAAACTTGCTCACGTGCACATTAAATAATCTATAACTGTTATCAAATTTTTTTTATTTACGTCATTGCTGATCGTCAATATAATTTTCCAATCAATTAAATAAATTGACCTTTTACTATATTGCACAGTAAAAAATGTTACGAGCTTCACGATTTAATCGCTCGGCTGTATAAGTCGGTAA